CGTGTTTGTTTTGTTTATTTGGGTTTTCTGTTTTGGTTGTTTGTCTGTCTGTCTGTCTGTCTTTTCTCTGCCTGTATGTCCTTCTGTGTTTTGTTGTCTGTCTTTCTGTATAGCTGTCTGTTTCTCTGCGTCATTCTCTCTCCATTACATTCTATCATTCTTCCACCTGATTACTTGTTCTCCTCCTCTCCCCCCCCCCCTCCCCAGTCCCCCCCAAAATAGAAGAAATTGTATATATGCACATTTTTTAGAAGCAGCAAAATCTACAACATCCCTTACCCCCCCTCCCCCCCAAAAAAAAGGGGGGGGAGGGAAAGGGAAAAAAAATCTCCAACTGACCCACCTACCATCCTACCGTCCTCTATCCTCCACCCTCCACCCACCCATCACCTCCTACAACCTCTCTCCAACCCACCACCCTCCACCACCCTCTTCCTCCTCCACACACCTCCTTCCTCTCCTCCACCATCTCCACCACACCTCTCCTCCTCCACCATCCCTCCACCACCCTCTTCCTCCTCATCACTCCTCCTTCTCCTCCACCACCACCACCCTCCACCCTCCCCACCCCCACCCTCCCACCCCACCCCCACCACTCCCACCCACACACCCCCAACCCCCCCACCAACCCCTCAGTACTTACGTTTATAACGACTCTCTCGCAGAAGTCGTGGTCGTGGGGAATTGGCTCGAAGTTCCCGGCTCCAGTGTATGGCGTTTGGTTGTTAGGGCCGTCATCATCCTGGCTAGTTATCTTGGGGAGTGACCTGTGTGGGGAGAGAGAGAGAGAGAGAGGGGGGGTCGATGAGTTTTGAGATTTTCGTTGTTGGAGGGAGAGGGGGGGAGAAGGGGTAGGGGGTGGGTGGGAGAGGGGGGGGGATGGGAGAGGGGTGGGTGGGAGGAGGGGGGAGGGAGAAGGAGGGTGGGGAGGAGAGGGGTTGGGGTGGGAGAGAAAGAGGGGGGTAAGAGAGAGGGAGAGGGAGGGGGGTGGGAGAGGGAGAGGGGTGAGGGAGAGGAGGTGGAAGAGGGAGGGAGGGTATTAGGGTGATGGGTGGGGAAGGTGGGAGAGAGGGAGAGAGAGGAGACAGAGATAGATAAACAAGTAGATAGATATGTAAATACATATACAGATATGAATGTTAAATATATACATACATATGCATAGATCTAGATATATATAAATAAAGAAAATAAGAAAGAAAGAAAGAAAGAGAAAGGATGAGAGAATAGACGAACGAGAAAAGTAGAAAATGACCTACAAAGACACAATAACAGACCCAAAACAACAAAACAAAACAGAAACACACACAAACAAACAAAACAAACACACACACACACACACACACAACACAACCAAAACCAAAAACACACACACCACACAACCACAAACAAACCTCTCCCTTCCCCCTCCCTCCCCCCCAAAAAAAAAAAAAATCCCAAACACACATAAGCAAATAAAACCTAACAAGGAAAATATGCAACACGAGTGATCAACATTGCAAGGGCACGAATGGCAACAAGCAACAAGTAGGTAATGTGAAATATCACGCAAAAGAAAAAAAGAAAAAAAAAAAAAAAAAAAAAAAAAAAAAAAAATCTGACGGAGAACGCGTAGATTTTCTGAAGGAAAAATTGGCTACGTTTGAGATAGGTATCGAAGTCTTCGTTATTATCGACATTATATTGTTATTCTTTCTTATTTTAGTTGTTTTATTTCTTTTATTTTCTATATTTTGGGGGGTCGTTATTTCCGTGGGTGGTAGGTTGTGTATTGAGGAAAAGGAAGAATATGAAGAATATACGGTAATGAAAGAAGGAATGAGAGAGAGAGAGAGAGAGAGAGAGAGAGAGAGAGAGAGAGAGCGAGAGAGAGAGAGAGAGAGGAGAGAGAGAGAGAGAGAGAGAGAGAGAGAGAGATTGAGAGATGGAGGGCCAGGGAAGGAAATGAGAGAAAGAGAGAGAAGGAGGGAGGGAGAGGGAGAGAGAGAGGAGAGAGAGAGAGAGAGAAAGAGAGAGAGAGAGAGAGAAAGAGAGAGAGAGAGAGAGAGAGAGAGAGAGAGAGAGAGAGAGAGAGAGAGAGAGAGAGAGAGAGAGAGAGAGAGAGGAGAGGAGAGAGGAGAGGAGAGCGTGGTGTGTGTATGTATTGATCATATCTCACACTCCCTCAGCCCCCCCCCCCCCCCGTCTCCCCTTCCCTTCTACCTAGTGTAAACTCTCCTGCTATTGTGGTGTGTTTGTGTTTGTGCCGTGTGTGTTTATGTGTGTGTGTGTTTGTGTGTGTGTTTTGTGTGTGTGTTTGTGTTTGTTGTGTGTGTGTGTGTTTTTGTTGTGTGTGTGTTTTGTGTGTATTTGTGTGTGTGTGTGTGGTGTGTGTTTTGTGTGTGGTGTGTGTGTGTGTGTGTGTGTTGTGTTTGTGTGTGTTGTGTTTGTGTTTGTGTTTGGTGTGTGTTGTGTTTGTGTGTGTTGTGTTTGTGTGTGTGTGTTTGTGTGTGTTTGTGTGTGTGTGTGTTGTTGTGTGTGTGTGTGTGTGTGTGTGTGTTTGTGTGCTTGTGTGTTGTGTGCTTGTGTGTTTGTGTTTGTGTATGTTTGTGTGTGTGTGTGTTTGAGTGTGTGAGTGTTTGTGTGTGTGTTGTGTGTGGTTTGTGTGTGTGTGTGTTTGTGTTTGTGTTTGTATTTGTGTGTGTGTGTGTGTTTTGCGTTTGTGTGTGTATGTGTTGTGTTGTGTGTTGTGTGTTGTTTTCTTGAGTAAGCGAGTGAGTGAGTGAGTGAGTGAGTGAGAGTGATTGAGTAAGTGAGTAAGCGAGAAAGCGAGCGAGCGAGTGAGTGAGTGAAGTGAGTGAGTGAGTGAGTGAGAGTGATTGAGTAAGTGAGTAAGTGAGTAAGCGAGCGAGCGAGTGAGTGAGTGAGTTAATGAGTGTGTGTGTTTGTATCTATGATCGTGATTCTGTGTTTGTATGTGCACGTGGTTTTGTCTGTGTGTCTGTGTTTATGAATCTGCTTGCATCCCTTGTATCTACAAATGTATATACACATGAGTGTGTATGTATCTATACGTACACATACGCATGAACGTAAGTGCACGGGAATATTCGTTCAAGAAATACCAGTTTGGCGAATATTCCCTTCAAGAAATACCAGTTTGTGAATATATCGTTCAAGAAGAATGCCAGTACTGAAATATTTCGTACAAGGAATACCAGTAAGAATACCAGTGATGGACCAATACATATTTGTGTGTGTGTGTGTTTGCAATAATAATCCTGATACTAAACAAAGAACAAATGTAAAACAACAGTAATGATGATGATGATAACAAGGAAAATAATGATAAGAAGAAAAATAAAAGAAATAATACTGTCTATAACAACAGGCCTAACAACACAATACTAGTAAAGAATAATAATAAACCAATACTAGTAAAGAATATTCGTTCAAGAAATACCAGTATGGGAATTCGTTCAAGAAATACCAGTACTGAAATATTCGTACAGAAATACAATAAGAAATAAGTTGCATGGACCAACGCACGAAACATACGCATAAAATTGCAGAAAAATCTTCCAAACAAAACAAATGCATATTATTTGTTTAATCATTGCATAAAATGATTTGAAAGTATACAACAAATATAATGTATGATGGCATATTTTTCCTTTTTATTTCATAATTTGCAACAAGAATGACAATAACGGCGATATTGATTATGATAGAAATATTAATATGATATGATAATGGTAGTGGTGATTGATGATGAATGATGAGATGATGATGATGAAGATGATGATGATGAATGTTGATGATGATGGTGATGATGATGGTGATGATGGTGATTGGTGATGAGATGATGATGATGATGATGATGATGATGGAATGATGATGATGATGAATGATGAGATGATGATGAATGGTGGTGGTGGTGTGGTGGTGATGATGATGATGAAATAATAAAAATAATAATAGAACAAGACAGCAACAGCAACAACAATAACAATAATAACACATAAAAATGATAGTAATAATAACAATAACAATTATAATAATAAAACAACAATACAATAACAATTATACACACTACAATAACAATAATGATAATAGTAACAACAACAATGACAATAATAATATCAATAACAATTACAATAATAATCCGGATAACTACAACACCAAGAAAAATGTAAACAACAGTAATGATGATGATGACAGCAAGGAAAATGATGATAATTGGAAAAATAAAAGAAAAAATTATGTCTATAGCAAGCAGGCCTAACAACACAATAATAACAATAAGACAACCCAAACAAAACAACGATAATAATAACAATAATGAATCATTCTAATAATTATACACCTAATATGATGACGTTTGATGAAGTGATGATGATGTGATATGATGATGTGATGATGATGTTGATGATGATGATGAGATGATGATGAGATAATATGATGATGATAATAATGATGATAATGATATGATGATGATGATGATGATGATGACGTTGATGATTAATGATGATGATGATGATGATGATGATGATGATGATGAAGATGATGATGAGTTGATGATGGTGATGATAATGATGATAATGATGATGATAATATGATGATGGTGATGATGGTGATGATGGTGATGATGGAATGATGATGATGATAATGGTGATGATGATGATAATGATAAAACCTGATAACCAACATCAACAGCAATGTAATTACCAACAACAAGAGTAATAACAGCAATAACAATTTCTAAAAAAATAACAAAGCCAATCTATATATATCTCGCCGCAGTTAATAAATAAAAACAATAAAAAATAGAAGGAGAAAAAAATATAATCATCATTTCTTATAATGTTCACTGAGTCGACCACTTTAAAAAATATATATTATCATCAATATTAATTATTCCTTTTTTGTGGTAAATATTATCCTTTGAGCGAAGGAGGGAGACAAAGAAAAAGGAATGATGGGGAAGAAAAGGAGAAGGAAGGGGAGAGAAGGAGGAGGAGGGGGAGAGAAGGAGGGAAGGAGGGTGAAAGAAGTGGAAAAGGGAGAGAGGAAGGGGAGAGGAGGGAGGGAAGGAGGGAAGGGAGGGAGGATGAAGGGATTGGAGAGAAGAGAAAAGAAGGGAAGAGAGGAGGCAAGGAAGAGTGAAGGAATTAAAGTTAAGGAAGATAGGAGTGGAGAAGGAGGGAGGAAGGGAGGATGAGGGTGAGTGAAGGATAAGAAGATGGGAGAAGGAAAGAGAAGAGGAGACTGGATGGGAATTGAGGGAGAGAAGGGAGTAACGAAAGGGTGGAGGGAAGAGGGAAGGAGGGGAGGGAAAAGGGAAGGGAGAAAGAAGGGGAGGAAGGGGGAAGGGAGGGAAAGAAGGGGGAAGGGAAGGGAAGGAAGGGGAAGGAAGGGGTGAGGGAGAGGAGGGAAGGGAAGGGAAGGAGGGGGAAGTGACAGGGGGAAGGGGGGGAAGAAGGGGGAAGGGAGGGCAGGAAGGGAAGGAAGGGGAGGCAAGGAGGGGAAGGGAGGGAAGCAGGAAGAAAGGAGGGGAGGAAAGGGGGAAGGGGGAAGGGAAGGGAGGGGAGGAAGGGAGAAGGGAAGGGGAAAGGAAGGGAGAAGGGGAGGGAAGCAAGGAGAAAGGAGGGGGAGGGGGAGGGGAGGAAGGAAGGGAAGCAGGAGAAAGGAAAGGGGAAAGGAAGGGAGAAGGGAAGGGAAGGAAGGGAAGCAGGAGAAAGGAAGGGGGAAGGGAGGAGGGAAGGGAAAGCAGGAGAAAGGAAGGAGG